ATTAAAACTTCATTTATCATTTACACCCTTTTCTCTCTTCTTCCCATTTGTTTTATCAGTTTCATTTTCAACATACTCTTATTTCAGATATGTTTTACCACCCGGTGGAGGGTAAGTTATTTCTTTGATTTACTTTTCATTAACTAATGAATTGCTTTAGAATTTAAATCCTTTTAAAAGAAACAGCAAAAAAGAAACGACCGATATTATGTCATTTCACAAATGTATCACATTTTTCTAATCAATATCTCTTTTATACCATTGTGATGAAACTTTTTGCTTAAATTTTTTCAATGTTAACTGCTAATTAACTTCAAGATTCAATCGGGTCGAGAAAACTGAACTTCTTAAAGAACTTTGTCATTAAAATTTCAGAAGAAAAGGGCTCAACATAATTTTGGTTACTTTTATTTCTGACACAAATGCAAATTTACTTAATTCAACGAAAGACTTCCAGCGACACGAAATATTCTGTTAATCCCAATTTCTATAGAAAAACTGTTTGTGACAGTATTATTTGCTTTTTTTGCATAATCAGTATGGAATATTTTTGTTTTACAATGCATTGCTATTTCAATACAAATTGGAAAACGGATTAATTTCTATTTCCCGTTGTTTTTCGGAAAAGTTGTATGGAATCTGTTTATCGCAGGTTGCCTACTCCTCAATGTCATATATTTTCTGGAAAAGCATTATATTTGAATTCTTAGCGTTATGCTGATTGTCTTTTTTTAATTCCGGACAAAATTCCCGATTCTTCGTCCTGGCAATTCGAAAGACATACAGAATTGCAATATTATATTCAAATACAAAAGGCACGAATGATGTTTACAACTTTACCCGAATGAAAAATAACGACATCGATGGTCCAGCTTAATTTTGGATGCTTTTATTTCTGACACAAATGCAAATTTATGTAATTCCATAAAAGGCTTCCAGTGTTGGGTAATTGTTTTTCTGTTAAACTTGTTTCTCGGCGACACAGATTTATTCGAGATGTAATATTGTTCGCGCACAATATTACTAGTTAACAACAAGAAAAAGGATATAAAATATATATGTACATTCCACGATGAATTGGTGAGCAATGATAAATGAGTTATACACAAAGCAAGTAATATGGTCAACTAACAAACTCCTTGTCGTTGTCTTGGACAATAATTTGACTGCCGGTTAGTTGACAGGTCGTTATGTTGGGAATATGTTACGGAAAATGTATTTAACGAATAGAAGAATACCGTACTTTGTTATTCAATGGTGCGGATATGCGATGATGTCGTCATTTGTGGTTGAGTCGTGGAAAATAAGAAAAGAGGATCTATCGTCTGCTCGGTTGTAGAAAAAAAAAAAAAAAAAAAAACTAGAACTGTCTGTCTCGAGATTTTTTCATACATATATACATACATATATAAGGATTAGGGAAGAATATTTCATTGACACAGTCAACTAACGCACATTCATCGCTGGTCTCATTAATCAAAGGCCTAATTATGGCTGCATTTTCAAGACACAAAAATTGAACTGTTTAGTCTGCGTATTTTGCATGATATTTCTAATGAATAATCCGTTTTTATATATTGCCAGATATTTATCACATCTTCATAAAAATATCTTTATGGCTCTAACTGCTGACAAAACAATTGAGTTACTTATCGAGATTCATCTGAACTGTGTCTATGAAATAGTCAATGAATAATAGAAATTAATCATATTTCTCGGAGAGATCTTCCGTAACTGGATTTTCTCCACCAAATTTTCGAAAACCAACAATGGCATATACAGGACCGGCACGGAAGCGAGATTTCATTAATGTCGTTTTATCTTTATAGTTAACTCCAGTCAACGATGATTTATCGAGTAAACGTAACGTACTCAGCGGAATGTCTGGGAATGTATTACTGCAAAGAAAAAATGATATTAATTGCAAATTATCGAAAACTGAATAGACGTCGTATTCAAATACAGAAATCCAATTATGACAATCCAATTATGAAATCCAATTATGGAAATCCAACAATTACAATGTCACGTCAGTCATTTGATCTTTTTTTTGCACGGCTGTGACCATGAGCCTTCGGAGTGCGTCAGAAATTTGAATTCATTTGGTGTAGTAGTGTATGTAATGCTGCCATTATTAATAGTACGCTTACTCTCATTAAATATTATAGTACTAGAATGTCTATCACTAATCAATCCATAGTATTATCAGATCGGAGAAACAGCAGAGCCAGTAAAATCGTCTACTCTTCCACTTTTGTTGTGACATTTCCGCAATAACAATATGTGATTCTGGAAACATCATGAATGATCATGAATGTCTCATTGAATGTTCTTGATACCCTACCTGAATATTTCTTCGCTATCCTCCGGTTCAGTTTCATTGACCACAGTAAAATGAAAGGCTATTACTTGATGACTGTTAAGGAAAAGCAATTTCTTCTGTAGAAAAAGGATAATTTTACACATTTAGTAAAGTTATAACGAGCATATTTTTGATAAATATTGAGAACACGTGAAACCACGTAAAAAAGCAATCAGACCTCAAAAGTTTGGAGAATTAACAAGCTTTTAACGAGAAAATGACTCCACAACATTAACGATTACGAATAAACTGAAGTAAATTAAAAAAACAATTAGAGCGAATAAACAAATCAAACCTTCCATTTCTTAAACCTTGTTTTCAAACTTCTGCTGTTATCCTTTTTCTTCACGAGAATGGTCGATACTTTTACGTCAGATCCGTAAAACACTAACACTTCGGGCATCCCTATCGCATTGATGTATTCTCTGAAACTGAGGTATTTGTTACGGCAATATTAAAATATTGATCGTTTCTCCATAATTATTATAGCATTCGTCCTATTTCGTAAAGCATCAAGAAGGACATTTTTGTTCGAAATTAATGTTTATCCTATCAAACACATTCTGTGGATGAACATTGTCGTAATCAGCTCTTCTCGGTGTAACTCCATTCTAGATTGATCTGTTAGCCAAGAAAAAATCAAGTCTGACTTACTTTCGATTATCCGGCTGATCAACAATGCAAATTGGCGCGCTAACATTTTCATTTCGAATTTTTTTAGCTGTATTCAGTGCTTTATTGTTAGCACCTTCATCAGTATATTTCAGATTGTTACTAATCACAATGACCAACTTCACTGGATCCTGGGATTTACGATTATCTTATTAGAATAAGCTCTAGTAATGAAATTCTATGCAAAATTCACTTCGCTATAAACATAATGCTTCGGGGTGTCACATACTGTGCATTAGGCCATGTGACATTAGATGTATTATGCTTTAATTAACTCACTTCACTGGATTTCGGGTCATGTAATAGATTTTTTTCTATCCATTCACTGAAAAAACTGTCGCAGTTAAAGACAAGCATGACAAAGACCAACATACGCATTGAATATTTGCACTGATCTTTTGAGGCAGAATGAATTACATTCTTGGTATATTGGTTCAATTCTAAGTCTAATTACATTCCCTAATTAAACTGTTTGTGGTATTATGCCTTCTGTTTACAATTCTTAGTATATTTAAGTAAAGATTTCATTATCACTCAAGTACCACTTCATTATCATTTTCACTTAAATATTACGACCATTCGACTGTCATATTTAATTATTGATGCAATGTTTGGAATAGAAATCCTTGAAGTATTTGCGCCAAAAACGATTAAATCTCAACATTGCATGATTTTGGCATAATTTGATAATGATTAAAGTTGCTTCTGTTTATATAAAAGATGACTAACAAATCGTCGGCTCGCCAGAAAGAAAATCTCTTGTACGAGGATGAACTTAAATCGTATGGGATAATCACTCCGTTCATTGGACTTCCTTCTATTTCATTGGGGAGGAATGGCATATCTGCTGAAATCATATAATTAGAACTATTTGTT